CCCCCTTGCTGATTATATAATTTTGTTCGCCATCACTTAGCGGTTCGAATGACCTAAGAAAGTTGGAGAATCGCTTTCAAAAAAAAACTACTTGATGATTTTGCGAGGCATCAATTTGAACATGTCTATATGGGGACCTAGCCGAGCTCCTCAAATATGAAAATAATGTTTTTTACTGATCAAAGTTGCATCAGTAGATTCTGATTTTCATGCTGGATTTGATGATGATAGTTTTCTAAACATAGAGCATCACTAAACTAGGTAAATTTCGAGTTTTCTTGAAAAACGTGAAAAATTCATTTTTTCAGGTGCAATTTGTGTGTGGGTGTGTGGGTATTCTATTCAACTCTGGCTTGGCACTCATCTATACCGACATCTCGCGTTCCGTGTCAGTAATTCACCACACCCACACAGCGGCTAAACTCTATAATGGAACCGAAAAATAGAGACCAAAACATTTTTAAGGAATCCCGGCAAGATGCTCCCCAGGCAGAAGCTCCCCGGGCACTTGCTTCCTAACCATATTTAACAAAAACGCCAATGAGCACAATATTAGGATATAAATTTATTTACTCTAAATAAAGAAATTAAAGATACAATAATATACAACTTATTTTCTCAATATACAAAAATGTAAGGATAACTTACAGCACAATTATAAATGAACAAAAACAGTGCAATAAAATTATTATTATTACGAAACAAAACAACGTGCTAATATTTACAACTAAGAAGTACCATTAATCATGAATTATAAAAACAATATGCAACATATATTATGACTTTTTTAACGAAATAATATGAGCTAAAACCATAACTTTTTCAAAATTGACTATTGCTGGTTCATTCATGATGTTGAGAATACGTGTTTCTTGACGTATTTGATGTATTCTTCTCGGTTTTCTAACACCAGCTATTGCTTGTATAATTTCACCTTCCACATAATTTTGTTCTTTTTTTAAACGGTGTAAAAATTTCCAGAAATTTGGGTGACTGCAATTTATTAACGACGTGAATCTGTTATTCCAGCCCTCCACGGCGTTGTTTGTCCGATATTGACCTTGAATTGTGTTGTCATTTACATTCCATAATAATATATCAAATTTTGCTGCTTTTCTTGGCCGTGATAAACGACCTTTGACACCTATATAGTACTCTTCAAAATATTTTAACAAGGTTCATCTTCTGTTGGAAATTGCGCCTTTATTTCATCAAATGTAGGAATTACATCAGGAACAGGTAAAAGTGCTAATGTTGGTAATGAACGAATTTGTTTTGCAAAATCGTCATTTTCACTATATAATGCCTTTAAGCCAAAACGAATAACAGCGCGATAAACATTTTGACATAAATGGAAAAAACATCTAGAGAGTTTGAACTTGGAAACTGTTTTTTAACTTCATTAATAAATAGTTGCACGTTCATAATCAATCATAATATTTGGTGGATCAAAATTTGGTGTTAAATTTTTTATTTGTTGAAACATTTCTTTATATAAACGTTGTTTCTTGCCTAAATTAAATAGAGAAACATCAAAGGAAGAATTACAAGATTTACTAAGTCATGTTTATCTGACAGCAATATATAAATAACTGGTATTATATGATTTAAATATGTAGCATGAATTGTATATAAGTGGAAATATAATTCTGGAACTACACTAAATGTACCATCTAAATATATATAATTTACATTTTCCCATATTTTTAATTGTTTTTTTGTTAAAAATATTAATACCCGTTGATCGATGGATCCCGAATCGAAATGTAAAAATGTTCGATTGCGAGCTGTTATTGTATACTGCGGATCAATGACAATGGAATCACGAGTTGTTGGTAATGATAATGGATTTTGACTTCGTTCTCGTATTTTTCGAACATTGCTTTTAAGATTTTGTAAATTTGGTAATGACGAAATAGCATTATCAGATAATTTGGACACAGCGTCAGCTACAATAGTATGTGTTGTCAAACTACTTTGTTTGGCTGTATCACTTATTCGTGTACGTGCTGCAGCTACTTGTCCAACCGAACTGTTTGGTTCATGATTATTGTCACGAACATAGAGTGTCGCCTATGCCCGTTGCCATGATGGTGTATTGTGTCATCTGCACATCTCTAGTCGTGTATTTCCTTTAGTTACATTCCATTATATACGCGAGAGTGACCACGCTTGGGCGGATATAGACAAAGAGGGAACGGTCATACAATAGAACAATGAGAGTTCATCATGTCAATGCATAAACATAGGATACAGCGAATACGATAAAGTACATAAAGTGAGCCGTAACGGTAAATACCGTTACATGAAGCTTGAATTTAGTTAAAACACCCCTCCTTACATTGTAATCCTTATTTCCACGATCACACCCGGATATCTTTCCATCTCAGTTTCTTCGTATTACTCACATTGAAAGATGTCCTGTGTTAGCTGTTTTTAATTCTTGAAGGTTGAAAGCTGAATTAAATTCAATATTTCATGTATGACATGTGTAATAGTTTCACTTCATTTTTGAAGACGTTCAGTAAAAATGTGATATTGCAGTGCTTGACTAGTTTAATTGCTTTTTCAAGTTAAAACATGCATTAAATTTTGGAAATTTTCCTTTTGAACTAGTGGCCATTGAAACTTGTTATCAACACTAACCGGCGTAACGACGGAAAGTAAGCAAAAATTTCTAATCTCAAATCAATTACGTTGATCTCTTGATAATAGATTGAACAATTCGCCTATATCATCAATGAATCCTATTGTCGAACTTCAAATTGGCAATGGTGTGGGGGTGGGGGTGGGAGTGGGGGTGTGGGACTGAGGTGTGGGTGGGTGTGGATGTGGATGTGGGAAAGAAGAAGTGAATATCCACACCCGCACACACCCTTTGTGTTTGCCTTGTTTGTTCTATTTGCGACTTCTCTATTCTCCTCTTGTCTTGCTCTGACTAATCCATTGTATTGCGGTCTGATTTCTTCGGTATTTCCTCCATTAATCTCGATCGATTCTTTTATTCATGCAGCATATCCGCCATATAAATCAAATAAGTGTGTACAGCTTTGAATGACTGAAAATGCACTGTGAAATTGAGCAAGTGCCCACTTTTGAGAAATTAATCTCTGTACATAGGACCGAAAAAGGTATCCACGATCCAGAATAGGGAGGTGTCCACATTCAAGAGGTCCATTTCCATTAGAATTGCTCTGGCAGACCGAGAGGTGTCCACAGAGAGAAGTTTTACTATCAGTTATTGTATTTAGCAATTGACAAATGCAAAATATTATCTATTACCAGTCTATTTAAAACAGTTGACTATAGGATTAATAACAAATTTTTTGAGATAGAAAATTTCGTTTCAATCAAGAGAATCATGTTAATATAGTTTTTAGTAATTGAAATTTTCTCCAAAGATTTGGCAGAAGTTATATTTTCAATTATTTTCTTTTATTAACATTGATTCGTTTTGTGATATTCTTTTCATTATCATACGACAATTTTTTCTAATTTCATACAACAGTGGTATTTTGTTTGAATCTGTACACAATATGCTTTTGTAATTCAGGGGTGTGTGGCCTACGAGGTGCAGGAGGTGCGCATCTCTCCGCATTTAGAAAATTTCCAGTTTCTCTTAGCGTAAATCGTGCATTTTATTTAAAAAAAGGATCATAAAATAGAAAAAATATGTTTTGTAACCCCCTGTTTTTCTTTGAAGTACATTCCTGCTGTAACTGACAAAAAAAAACAAAGTATCATTCAGAATATGATCTAAAATATATAACTTAAACAAAAACATTAAGTTAGTAAACATCCGAGTTCAAATCCAAATTCAATAAACAAATGATTCGATTTCTTTTCAAATAGAGATTTTCTGTTCTCCTATGTGAACGTATTTCACATCACATTATATTGTATCAAGTCAGAGTATGTATGTCATACTCTGTAACTAGGACTAGAAGGTTTATTAATTACATATTTATTAAAAATATGAATGCATTTTAGTTTAAATTTGGAGACTTTATCTGAATTTTATAAAATTCAACTGTTGAGCAGTTGTTACAAAATGAAATGTGTCCGATGCTATAGATAAAAAAAGAGGAATATTGATTCATTGGTCACTGTCTCCGTGGCAACGATCATATTCAACATATATTGTCATTGTTTATTTGGACGGATAATATAGAGAAATGAAAAAAATTGTCGGGCAATGAATATAAAGAGAGCGAGTATAGCTGTTATAAATAAATGCAGCAATAATCGTTATATGGCTTTGTTTACATGTTTTGACGATCTACCCGATCTGGTACTTATCGAGCTCTTCACATATCTGTCATCTATCGACATATTATGGGGATTTACTCGTCTTAACAATCATCTGACAATGTTAATAGATGAACGACGTTTCTTTCATCATGTTAACTTATCGCTTGCACATTATCATCAATTTAATACAATTTTTCGGTTTCTTCCATTGAATAATATTGAATCACTTGCAATCGATACTAATGGATCTTCACTTCAATTAACTCATTGGCCCCATTTGTCTCGTTTGAGAACTCTGCGTATCGCTACTGCATACGATCTTGATGATCTTTCGATCTTTCTTTTGCGTCATGCAGCTACACTTACTCATCTTATCATCAAATCAAATGAAAGACTGATTCCAGTAAGTATAGGAGTTTATTCTAATACGTTTAGCACTATATAAATAATTAAGATCATTGAAGAAAGAATTGCCAATTCTGAGGTACTGACCTCCTTTCAAAATCTTCTTACAACATTTTTTAGAAAGATATAGACTGTGTGGTTGAATTGTGTAAAAGATGAATTCTTCTCATCATTTGAAAATTTCAAACGGTTCACAATTTGAATATGATATGTCAGAAGAAAAAAATTGAATAGAAATAGCGTCTTTCATTCAGCAGAGTTTATCATATTCAATAAAAATAATAAAAAAAATATCGAGGTCAATGTAAAGCATATTGTTCTATTAATACATTGAAATATACAATAGAGTTTTTTCATTCAGAAGAATAGATTGTTCCAAAGTAGTTGTATTACGTCGAATAAGCTCTCACTAGAAAAAGAATGCATCGAAAAGTAATTTGCGCTTTCAAAACTAATAAAATTGAAACTTTTCATGAGATAAAGTATTAAATAAAATAGGTTTCGTTCAACATTTATATATATATATATGACGGAATGAGAATTGTTTCAAGAGTCTGAAGATTCCTATCAATGAACCAGTACACTTCCAAAAGATCTAATATTAATTGCGAATAAAGATTTTAGCTGAGTAGAAGCTTCACTTTATCGATCTCTTTTTAAATCGAAGCACTACTGCTTCAAATCTGACGAATAAAACATTACTTAATATTGTTCTTCATTCATAATTCACTGATATTTGTATACTGTTTTCAGGATGGTTTTACGATTAACTCCGAATATACAATCGCGTATATTGCGACATTAATAGAAGAGATTCTTTTTACCCGTTTGCCTGCACTTCAATCACTTGATTTGGGTATGAATAATTATGGAACATGTTGGCCTTTTACTACTGCAGTAGTTCCACTTACTTATTTGCGTATTGATTTACCGTGTATAGATACTTTGGTTCGTTTTATATCGACACCACCACTCTGCGACACATTACGTCAATTACATGTTCACTTGGGTAACGCTAATTTTGCTATATCGACATTTAATCTATCGATTCAAATGATTCATTTACATACATTCACTTTTGCTCAAACATTTTTTTCGGAGTTAACAACTAAATGGAGCATTTTCGAAATGCTGACATCTTCGAATGTTATGCCTGTTCTTCGACGTCTTAATATGTCCCTTTTTATTAATATGAATGATTTAAATCACATTGGTTCATCACCACTTTTTACTGATCCTCGTCATATTGATGTTCATTTTGCTTTTAATCTTATTAATTGTCCACAATACATTGGAATGACACAATACATACCACGTGGTAGTAGTTTTCATCCACGAAAAATAATTGGTGTAACCTTTGTTGTTAAACACTGGTCGAGTAGATCCGAATGGCACACTAACAGTGATCCTTTTGTAAGCTATAGTTCACTTATATTTTCGTCCGCATTTTCTTTATATTTATAGAGTCGTGGACGTCGATATCATCATCATGTGTGGTATACTCTTCCGTGGGCATTTGATGAATTCTTTCACGACTATCTTCCAGAGAAATGTATCACGAAAATAGAAGTATTCGAACAACCTTCTCACAATCACAATACTACGAAAATTAATCAATCGTCTCTTCGTACATTAGATGCATGCGGTCAAACTTTAGCATTACTTATATACTCTTTGCCTCATGTAGTACTATCTGATTATATTGAAACGTTTCACCTGTCCTATTATAATAGACCTATTCGTATACATTTATCTGCTCTTCACACTATAACTCTCGTGAATAGTATCAAATGTCTGAATAAACGTTCTTTTTTTCCACCAACTATTCGTTCTATTCGTATTTTACTTTTTTATAATTATCCTAACTATAAGTTACCAAACTGGCCAGTAGTTTTGGATTCACTTTCAAAGTTTCCACAATTGAATTCGTTACATGTATTTATGTATGATTTACCAAAAACTATCGACGATAGAAGTTGTAAAGTGATCGCACGAATAGCACCATTATTCAACGATTTTGCCTTTTGCTTTCGATATAAATTCGGCATCTTAGAAGGTGATGAACTCGAAGCTGTATTTAAAGATCATGGAATATTCATTAGACAATTATGTCATTATATTCTATCATTACCTTTTGATAAAGAACCTTATTATTCAATTGAAACGGAAGGTTATGGACTTAAGATCTGGTTTTAATGAACATATAAATCTGACCGAAATCATCTTTACTTATGATATATCCAATGAAATCGTTTTTTGGAAAAAAACAATATGAATTATTATTATTATGCGTTGTTTTTTTAAATATCATTAAAAATTGGCCGTGAAGTCACTTCATTCAGAAAACGACTATATTGCTGAAATAGCTAATAGTTAAAGTGAAAAATCACTTTCAAATTGCACTCCACCAATCAGTTGAACTTCGTCGTGTATTGTGCTATGTTCTCATAAATTAGTTCAAATTCTTGTTAGTTTCAAACTGAATTCTATAAAAGACGACACTCTCTTTTCGTGAGTATGAAATGGCTGGCCTTTACAACAGTCTCTCCGAACATGATAGTGACGAGCCTTTACAATTCTATGACTAATTATATATACTATATATATATTTGCTGATATTCAGCAATGGAAATTTCCGTAGACCTTTAAAAAAGATGTGATACTGTGAATATTCTTTTCCATGGCATGGTAGTATATACTTGAAAAATTATAAGACATCGGAGATTGTCATGAATAAACTGGAAGCATATAGAACACTATGTGTTTCAAAAATTATCTAATCTTGAAATAGAAACATTTCAAGCAAAAAAGCTGCATTTTTACTATTTTGCATGTTTTTGTGGAAAACCTTAAGGAAACAATACTTTAAAAATTGATGTACATTAAACAAAAATAAAATCACGCTTGTGTTTCATTCAGCTCATATAAGGAAGAAAGAATCTTTGATCATTAACTAAGAATCTTACAATAAGAAGAGAAAAAGTTGATGATACTTATTAAAAGTACAAATGTATTTTTTATCAAGTTTTATAAAAAAAAAAGTATTAGTAGATGTTATTGTTTCAAGAAATTGGTCAATTTATTATTTCTCCTGTAAAAAGTTCGTTATTGTATTTCATTGTAAAAAGTCTTAATTAAAGAAAATTTCGTCATTTTTCTAAATAGAAATTAAATTTATTGAAATGTTTTAGTTATTCTATTCTTTTCATAATCAAAACCGCAAGAAGGTAGCGTTCACGGCATGCAGAAAGTTACACACTAGCTAATATATTGTGAATCGGTAGTATATCATCAAACAATCAGTCAATTACCATACCACATTCTCTTCTTTATTTCAACATAAACCATGGTGAATAAATAAAATGTGATATATTTTATAATTTATTTATTCGATCATTACTTTTCACATTGGTTTATCCATATTAAGTAAGAAAATAGCTCAGGGTGTGGGTGTGGGTGTCTTCTTATAAAGTCACACCCACACCCACACACCCTATAATGCAATTAATTCATCAATCGGTTTTCATTTAGCGTTAACAAGATTGGCAAAAAGACCTTCTTTAATGAAATGGAATATAGAATAAATATTCCGTATGAATATGACGATCCAAACAGCAGTTTAACTTTTCCAATTTTAACAAAGATAAAAATAAAATAATATTTCGTATTGTAAAATATGAATGACTTTGTTAAGGTAGCTGCGAGCTGATTATGATTCGTACGTATAACACATTGTTATGTGTTCGTCCTTTAGTTGACTATTTGATCATTAAATATCATTATGAATACTAAAAATTTATTAGAAATTCGTAATTCTTTTTTTATTTTAAATAGGAGATATTATTAAAAATGAGTAGCATAACTTAGAAGCAGAGTTGTTGTATTACTGTTTTTCATAAATTCAAAACTAAATGAGAAATAGTAGCTGATCTGAATTAATAACAGATTTATTTATACGATAATCATCAAATTATTCACCTTGACATAGTAAAAACATCGATAGAAGCTAATGAAGCATATCATTTACTGTAGAATCGAACAATGTACATGTAAACGGACAGAGAGATTGCTGGGTGTGGGTGTGCGTGTATTTGGTAATGGAAAGAAATGTTCTATCGATAATTCTTTGCTCTTCAGTATCATAAGTGCCAGCCATTTTAGAAGAATTAGATTTAACTGATGGACCGAACGGATATATTTTTTTTATGAAAGATATGAATTAGAAGATGACCTTATATGTAGCTTCATAAACTTCTCTCACTTTCTAAGGCAAGAAAAATAAAAAGGATCTTTTTTTATTCACAGTCATCACAAGTAATAGACAACAGAATGCAAAAAATAGAAAACTGCACCTTCTGAATCATAGTAAGGTCTTATGATCACTGGAACAATGTTCTGTTCAATTTTCCCAAAAACTATCTGCTTTTTTCTTCTTCTTAAAACCCTCTAAAAACGAAGTATAACGATTACATTATGCAGACTTCTTCAAACTTCGTCAGTTTCTGCATACGAAAGTTTCTATAACCCTTATTATTTAGTACCAATAAACCCCATTTTTTACGGACTTTCATTTGGTATAAAATTAATTAATAACTCTATTTCAGAATATGGCGGTCCCCCCCCCCTCCTATGAAAATATTGTTTCCAACTCTGTATCTGTATAGTGCGTTTTCTGCTTAACTAACTTTGGTGATGATGTGCAATATATTATATTACACAATCAGAAAGAACATTGTTAGATTGCTGTTAGTCAGTCACAACTTAATTTCGTTTTCGTTTTACTTGGTTCCGATTAGCCAAATGTCAATCAGAAAGAGAAGATACTTAGAGTGTGGGGGCTGGGAGTGTAAGTTTTATTTTCATCCGCAGTCACTCTAGTAAACATTAACACATAGTGAATAAATTTGACTTTGCATTTTCATACGATACTGGTTTTTCACAATGAAAATAAACTCCAATCGACATTGTGTTCTTAGCATGTCCTAAGATGTTTATAATTATTCTTCTGAATCTATCCTCCAATACTGATGAATTTCAATATGCTGACCATTAAAATAATCGATGCTTTACTTTACATGTTATTCAGTGTGTATACTGTGAACGCATGAAGAATTTATAGGAGACTTTTTCTGTCTTAGCTAGCACCTGTTAATTATCGGAAAATATGTAAAATATAAAATTTTAGCATACATCTCTCTGATTCTTTCGTAGCTGTCAAAACACACTCGATCTTAACAGATTGTTTTCTTTCTCTCAAAATAATTAGATAAAAACTAAACCAACTTTTTCCCGAAATAACGGGTGGGCCAGAATAAATTGGACTGTCTGTATTTTTGAGATTTTTCCACTTCGTTAATCTTGACCCGACTGACTTTTTTACCAAAAAATTCTTCGTCCAATTCTCTTCAAAAATGTATTCACCGTTTTATTGCAGAATCTGAACGTACAAAATGCCATAAGAAATTGTGAGAAGTATCGAAATGCAACAGAACACAAAGGTAGATCAATGGAAAAGCACGTTTTTTTTGTATTATTTACTAAAAGTTTATAAGACCGACAAAAGTTAAAGTAACCATCGTGTAGGCCTTAAAAATTTCTATTTTCGGTCAATAATTGAAAAAATTCCAGTTAGAATTGAGCGCGTAGGAATTTGCTTCTCTTTTGCCAAGTTTTCAAGAAATGAAGATTCTCTAATCAATCATTTAAACTTTCTAATAAAACAAATAAAGATTACTCAAACTTAATCCATTCAGACTGACTTTTTCATTGATTTTGAAAACTACTGTTTAATTGATATAATCGGATCTGTACCGTTTAAAAATAAACATTATTTTGCTCAGTCGTGCAAGAGCAAGTAAAAGTTGTTGTTAATTTTCACTTGGATTGCCATCAAGCTAATATTTTCCTCGGATATTTAGATTTAAATGACTTGCGCCCTATACAAGGAGATAGAGCGCATCTGAAACTACATAAAATATACGGAAACCATGTTCTGGTGCTTGTAAAACCATTCAAAAAATTCTAGCTCTATTTGAGAAAATACACTTATCATTTTCTACATTTTCGTACTTCTCATGATTTATGGTCGCATGTGGCAACTTCGTATTCTGCAATAAAGCTGTCAATATATTTTTTATAGAGAATTGAACGGGCAATGCTTTGGTAAAAAGTCAACCCGATCAAGATTAATGAAGTGGAGAAATCTTACTAATTCATTCTGGCCCACCCGTTAGAACACTAACTAACGTTCAAACCTGAAGGATTTTAAATGTTTGCTAATTAACTTTTAAGTTATACCTATTCTGACGTGAATCATCCAAAGACAAAATGAGTGCTGTGACTCGATATAAAAATAAATATTCAAATTCAAAACACAAATTTATGTAAATATAATGACTAACATCTTAACATTGTTTTAACATTGTCAATAAAAATGAAAGATATCTATTGTTGTTCGTCAGCATTTCTTACACTATGAGAAATGCATATTGAAGGAAAACTTGTGAACGTCCTGAAAATTTTAATTAATTGTAAAGCATTTTTTTCCTAAAATATTCATGCATTATAAGGCACTGCGAAGAAGTAATAGTAAACCTGTCAAAAATTCGTTTGAAATCAATCCATTTTAATGTATTATAATTGCATTTGGTACGTTACTGACTACGTGAAGAGCAAACCAAAGCAAAAATAAAACAAACTGAATGATTCACTGAATTTATAGAAGGTTTGTTTTATAGATTTGATTGGCCTGTAAGGTTTACTTAAACATCCTTCGAAATGTTAATAAAAACGAGCATTTTAAAATTCCATCAGTAGTTCGTCAATAGTATTAAACGTAATTTCACTCCCGGAACATTTTTATGCGGAAAATAATACTGATCTATGCATCTATTAACTATAATAGGACTTAAAGAGCGACGAAAACAGTACGATGATTATAAAACATGAGAATGTGTGGAAGTCTATGAAATTCTGCAAATTGCGTATTCCAGGGCAAACGATCGCATCCAAAAATTTTCGAGGATTAAATAAAAGCGAGGACCAACAATGACATACTAAGTTCTGACGAGATGCTGAATCTGATCTGGTAAGATAATACAAAAAAATCATCGTCCCGGATTTTTCTATAATCTTATAACCATACTTTACTATATGGCAAGATTTTACAAGTAAATAATGCTACAAATTAATGTCAA